TTGGCCACATAATTTTCACGCTTGCATAGTAGACGACACAAGATACAAGATACACATATTGATATCATGGAGATTCATTTTGGGATATTATCCAAATATAAATACCTTGGCCTTGTCGTCGATGGTGTTGGATATGAAGTGCGGTACGTTTTGCGATACCACATACAAATTCAAATTAAGATCTTCATAATTACTTGCAAACGATGCAATGCCAAATGATTCATGATGCATGAGTTAGACTACGTAGGGACCTCCTGCCCTTCAGTGATCATCCCCACGCGGTGATAAGCCGAGGAAACCTTAGTCTCCTGGAGGAGTCTAGAAATTGTGGGTGGTAACTGAAAGCCTAGTTACCATGTACGTACACAAGCCCTCCTGATGAAACCTGTTGGATCTTGAAGGCTCCTGGACGGGCCCGTGGAAGAGGCGCACTAGGCCTGACCTCTTGACGCGGTATGCAATGGTATGCCATGATCCTACGACATGCGTCTAGGATGATGATATGATGTTATGAATGGTACACTACCTTAGGATTTAAGTGAGCATGCTTGACTTATGATCTTGAAGACTTATTTTGAGAGCTAAGTCTCGATTTTTAATCCATATTTCAATTGTTGATTCTTACCTTGAAAGCACTTTGGTTTTGGATCTATCTAAAAGTTCAGTAGCCCCTGATAATCGATTATCACTTGGTGATAATCTATTATCAAAGTTCAGCAGCCTCTGATAATCGATTATCACTTGGAGATAATCGATTATCAAAGTTCAGCAGCACCTGATAGTAGATTATCAGAACTTAACAATCTATTATCACAGTACTCGGGTTCTACTTTGGTTTTTCGAATTACGTTCAACTTTTTGAAAATTATAATGAACATTCATAATTACAATATATCCATATATGTAGTATCTATTCATGCCAACGGATTGATAGGTGATTTCTTTTAACGAGTGTCATACCATATACCTTTATAACGAGAAAACTACGATCATACGGATTCAATGTAAATTATCCCAAGTAGTTGAGCATGTAAAATAACAAATACACATTCGTTCATACATGTAAAACACATATATATTCGGGAATGGATTTACGTGTTCATGTAATCGTCTAAATGTAGTCTAGGTGTTCCTCAACGTTTTCATTTATATATCAATTTTATACACCTATACGTATCAAGTGATGCTATTACGATATTCAATGGTAATTCCTCAAGCCTAACCATATTCTTCATAATCTAACCGTTCTACCACTTTTATTTCAAAACCCTTATTGTTTACGTTTGAGTCAAACATCCATTTAGCCTTGTATAATCATTCAATTTCATAATGGTTTCTAATCCTCGTTGTTCTCTACGCAACTTTACTAGATCAAGAACATAACATGGTATGAATCTATATACAAACAACCATATAAACAACAAATTTATTCGCATATAAATATATTAAATATTCCTTCGTTATAGCTAGGGTGTACATAGCTCAAATATTACACAACGTTAGAAGAAACCAAACAAATCAACCGCGTCGACGAACAGTTATCAAACCGTTGACCTTCCGACCTCCAAGTGCCTTCTTGAGTTTCGGTTTCTTCTTGCGAATATGTTACAGGGGTTGTCGAGAGTCGGCACGTACCAAACGAATAGCGGATTGGATGAGACGGAACAAGAATAAAGGCGGAAATTGTAAACCTCGCGTTTTCTTCGCCACTGGAATAGTTTTGGTAAAACGGCCGTATCGCCTTCGTTACTCGTCCGATTGACAAATCGTTGGTGGCTGTGGTTCACCGAATTGCAGGGATACATCTTTAGTTAAGAAACCACGACCAAACAGTGAGTAAAAGGTGGTCAAAATACTGCCCAAAGTGGACTGTCGGGATTTTTGCTTCCAAAACCAGCACCTCCTTTCTCTTCTTCCTTTTCTTCTCCTTCGTCGGCCTTCCTCCGTGGTGTGGCTGCTGGGCCGAAATACAAAGAGAAGAGGGAGGGTTGAGAGTGTGTTGATGGTGTGGGGTTTACAAATGGTGAAAGAAATGGAAGGGAAGAGGGATGTATATAATAATGGGAGTAATGGAAGATTAAAGGTGATGAATGGGGAATTAAAAGGGATGAATGAATATGGAAAGAGGGGTATATATTAAAGAGATGTAATGGTGGTGGGGTGGGATGTTAAAGAGGTGAATGAATGTAGAGAGGGGGGGGGGGTGTGTGTGTGGCGTGTACATGTGGGAAAACTAGAGAGTCACTTTTGTGTTACTCCATAAATAAAAACTGGCTTGAACGGTACACGCTTTTTCCCCCAAACACCTACGAATTGAAAACCGTTTGCGTTCTCGGAAATAAACAATCAAAACTAAATTTATTATAACTTCAAAATATTTTTCTCAAAACTTATTTTCAAACTTCCGGATTCATCCCAATCATTAATTTATTTATTTAATTAATTAATGTTGAGAGGCCCAGAATTAAAGTACATTAACTTTGGAAGTCCATTTAAGGAGATCGAAATCTCAATATTTATTATTTAAAATAATGAGTCTCAATAAATAATTAATATTTATTTATTTAAAATATTGGCTAGCTATTAGGCCGGTTTGTAGGGCGTTACATCAATCGAGGATTCTTTTCTCACGTGGTGGTTGGAAGACGAAAAGATTTGAAGTTCGGGGAAATCCAAATGTATGGAGATAGCTCAAAGTCCATGTGCCTAGAAGTCAGTGAGAGCTATCGTTTTATTTTTCCTTTAGGAGCCACAATCATTACACGTTTATTTACTGCGTATTTTGAATGCATGTGAATGAATGTTAAACGCTAGTAAATTGACACGTGTGCGGCATGTGTCGTAGGTGAGATCGTAATTAAAATTAAATCCCTATCGAATATTAAGTTTGTATGCCTTTGGGCACCCGACACCTTTCTGGCTAATCTGCACTATCACGTACTCAGCCTCCGTTGAGTGTAGCATGGTGTATGTTATGCTGGTCCTAGAAACCACCATGGACGTGGTCACGTTCAGACGTTGGGTTAGACTTAACTAAGTCTCGGTTAAATAGGTGATGATTTAGAGGCGGTTTTGTTGGGGTCATTACATGACAAGTCGAATGGTTTTACTCGTTCATCTAGCCAAGGAGTTGGATCTTTATGATTTAATTGGAACTCTATTCCTAACCAAGTAGTTGGACTTGTGGAGAGAGCCCTAGCCAAATGCAAGTTCAATGAAGGTGCCCTGGTCCGGTTGTAGTAAAATAGTTCGCCCAACAAAAGACCAAGAACTGCGAGCGCGGCTTGTCAGTTGGTGTTGGAGTTGTGCCCTGATGGCCAACTGTTTATCATTATTCTATCATGTATAGGCAGATATAATATGTTTACACATCTCATGCTAATGTAAACAAATATTATATTCCAAGATTTATATTTAAAGGTGTTTATCAGATAGTGTTATTCTGCTGATGAGACTAACATCTTGAAATAAATATTTATCTAA